ACGCGGTTAACCTCCAAGAAGATATAAACAAAGTTTTCCAGTGGGCAACGGTAAACAATATGATGTTCAATGAGGACAAATTCCAACTACTCCGTTATGGAAAACTTGAGGACATAATAACTAGAACAGAGTATACTACAGACTCTGGCCATACAATAGAGCGGAAAAAATATGTAGGGACCTGGGAGTAGTAATGTCTGAGGATCTCACTTTGAAGGATCACAACAGTGCCACGATCGCACGTGCAAAGAAAACGATAGGATGGATAATGAGAACGTTCAAAACGAGAGATGCCAAGCCAATGATGATCCTTTTCAAATCACTTGTTCTCTCTAGGCTGGAATACTGCTGTACATTAACATTTCCATTCAAAGCAGGTGAAATCGCAGATCTAGAGAGTGTACAGAGATCCTTTACTGCACGTATAAGTTCTGTCAATCACCTTAACTACTGGGAACGCTTGGAAGCACTTGACTTGTACTCGTTGGAACGCAGGAGGGAGAGATATGTCATAATCTACACTAGGAAAATCTTGGAAGGAATGGTCCCAAATCTGCACACATAAATCACTCCCTACGAAAATAAAAGACTGGGCAGGCGATGCAAAATGCCCCCAATAAAAAGTAGGGGCGCCATTGGTACACTAAGGAAAAACACCATAAGTGTCCGGGGCCCAAGACTGTTCAACAGCCTCCCATCAAGCATTAGGGGAATTGCCAATAAACCCCTGGCTGCCTTCAAGAGAGAGCTGGACAGATACCTAAATTTAGTCAGTGCCGGATCAGCCGGGCTGTGGTTCGTACGTTGGACTGCGTGCGGCCAGCAGTAACGGCCTAGTTGATCAGGCACTGATCCATCGGGAGGCCTGGTCATGGACCGGGCCGCGGGGGCGTTGATCCCCGGAATAACCTCCAGGTAACCTCCAGGCATGTGTGAGCGTGTTAGGAGTGGAGGCAAGTCGTTTTATTGACTAGAGGTGCCGTTGGAGTGTGAGCAAGGTAACATTTATGAACTTATACGGAGAAACCTGTTAGCCAGACTTGAGTCCTGAAGGTGGCGAGTACAATACCTGCAATCTGAAGGACGGGTGGGAATGCTGCAGTTCATAGTGTCATCTGAACTATAATGCCTACACACTTCTGACAAGACAGTGACTGAATGAGTAACTGTGATATATACATGTGTACTCACCTAAATGTACTCACTTAATTGTGGTTGCAGGGGTTGAGACTCAGTTCCTGGCCCCGCCTCTTCACTGAGTGCTACTAGGTCCTTTCTCTCCCTGCTCCATGAGCTTTATCATACTTCATCTTAAAGCTATGTATGGTTCCTGCCTCCACTACGTCACTTGCTAGGCTATGTGTGTGTGTGTGTGTGTGTGTGTGATAAAAAATATACAGGCATTTCAGCTTCATGTAAAGAAATGCTCAATCATTTATTTTAAACGATATGTCGACAGGTGGTTAGTACAACACGTCACCACATCTCCCCACCTCACATTCCACTCTGGAGATCTGCCACAGTTTAACTTAATCACTGTGGCATTTATCACAACCCAGACATGGATGCCCCCTCGCCACTTGCCCCACTCTAGTTAACTGCAGTGGGGCTGGTCTGAGTGGCGGGGCGTGGTGAAGTGACTGAGAGAAAAAAAAAGGAAAAATGTTTACCCCTGGGGCGCTGCTCCCCTGTTGTGAAACACCACTAGTGTATCAGCAGTGGTAGAGATGACACTTCCGTTAATTTATTATAATGGGTCGCTGGATCATCACCTCACGACGGTCTCATAAATAGCCAATGAAGGTTTACGGGTCTACGAACAACTGTGAGAGTGAAAGATACAGCTAAGTATAGGCTAAATATAATAATAGCTTTTAATATACTTGGCATCCTGCAAAGTGAAGATTGAGACACTTATGCAACATCTGGGAATCATTATTGAGGAAACGATTCGCCGCACATTGGCTTCATCAGTCAAATGTAAAGCAGAAAGGTGTAAGGAGATGAGACTGAGGCAATCAGTCCCTCAATCTCCTCCTCTCCTTACACCTTCCTGCTTTATATTGGATTGATGAAGCCACTGTGTGGCGAAACGTTTCCTCAATAAAGATTCCCATATGTTGCATAAGTGTCTCAATCTTCACTTTGCAGGATGCCAAGTATATTAAAAGCTATTATTATATTTAGCCTATACTTAGCTGTATCTTTCACTCTCACAGTTGTTCGTAGACCCGTAAACCTTCATTGGCTATTTGTGAGACCGTCGTGAGGTGATGATCCAGCGACCCATTATAATAAATTAACGGAAGTGTCATCTCTACCACTGCTGATACACTAGTGGTGTCTCAATCTCCAGCTTGTCGTTTTTTTAAACCATTTATCACATCCTGTAAAGGTTCAAAACTTAATAAAGGCTTCCGTTTCGGAGAAGAGAGGAAGGTAGTACCTCCCTGAATGGCTGCTGTCCACCAACTAATCTTGTAGGTGTCCGCGGGATGTTATAAAGTGAAACTGTGGCCACCGCTGGTGTCTTTCTCAGTTTTTACAGCGTAAGATTTTTCTTGTAGCTTTGCTACGTAATGTATCTCGATACATTACAGGTCTTGCTGCATTACAGGTCTTGGTAGTACACTGCAAGTGTTGCAGCATCACAGGTCTTGCTGCATTACAGGTCTTGCTACATTACAGGTCTTGGTAGTACACTAAAGGTGTTGCAGCATCACAGGTCTTGCTACATTACAGGACTTGGTAGTACGCTACAAGTGTTGCAGCATCACAGGTCTTGCTACATTACAGGACTTGGTAGTACGCTACAAGTGTTGCAGCATCACAGGTCTTGCTACATTACAGGTCTTGGTAGTACGCTACAAGTGTTGCAGCATCACAGGTCTTGCTACATTACAGGTCTTGGTAGTACACTATAAGTGTTGCAGCATCACAGGTCTTGGTAGTACACTACAAGTGTTGCAGCATCACAGGTCTTGGTAGTACACTATAAGTGTTGCAGCATCACAGGTCAAGCAGTACTCTGATGACAACTACTCTGCTTCAGTACACAACTCATTACCGTGAATAATAAGAGTCACAGTAACGTGACTAAAACAATTCGTGACCCACGAATTAGCCATGATTCCTGAATGACGTTTCGGTCCGTTATGGACCATCCTCACGCCACGATTGGGGCGAAACGTTGTCCAGTGTTGGTTTATAATTTGGTTTGTCTCCGTGTTAATGGATACACTTTTCAAGGCAACAAAATGCGAGGAAGCGCTAAATCCGTAGGTCATACAGCGCCTGAGACTCGGGAAGTATTTGGGTTTGATCCGAGGAATAGGGGCGGCTCCACTTCCTCTGATCAAGAGTCCCGTCATAGGCATCATTCGGTACTACTCATAAGACTTCAGTTATTTATTGGTATTATTTGGGAAGCGCTAAAACCTTAGGGGTTATAGTGCCTCGATAATGGAAGACCCTCAGGTTCGATCCAAGGAAAGGGAGGTCAGGTCCAGTTCTTTGGATCAAGAGCCCTTCACCGACGCCTGCATTTACTGTGAAAATTTGAAGGCGTTTAACCCGCAGGGGTCATACAGAAGCGTTTAACCCGTAGGGGTCATACAAAGGTATTTAACCCATAGGGGTCATACAGAGGCGTTTAACCCGAAGGGGTCATACAGAGACGTTTAACCCGTAGGGGTCATACAGAGGCGTTTAACCCGTAGGGGTCGTACAAAGGCGTTTAACCCGTAGGGGCCATGCAGAGGCGTTTAACCCGTAGAGATCATACAGAGACGTTTAACCCGTAGGGGTCATAGAGACGTTTAACCCATAGGGGTCATAGAAACTTTTAACCCGTAGGGGTCATACAGAGACGTTTAACCCGTAGGGGTCATACAAAGGCGTTTAACCCGTAGAGATCATGGAGAGGTGTTTAACCCGTAGGGGCCATGCAGAGGCGTTTAACCCGTAGGGTCATGCAGAGGCGTTTAACCCGTAGGGGTCTTATAGAGCCATATATTTGTCCGAGAGATTGGACAGATATGTGAGTGGGAGGGGCTGGGTTTGATTGGTGTCGTGGGTACGGGAATAAATTCTTGGGTAGGTTTGGGCCAGTAGGCCTTCTGCAGTGTTCCTCCATTCTTATGCTCTTAGGTGATGAGTAGCATCATTTAAAGCGAGAACTTTGGGTAGCTTTAAAAGTTGGACAAGTACATGCGTGAGTGTGAGTTGGAACTGCCTAGAATGGGCCAGCAGGCCTGCTGTATTTCTCCTCTTCACCTACATTCTAATGCTCCTTGGATCAAGAGCCTTGGATGAAAGCGCCTTGAATGTCCTCTTGAAAACTTTTACCTTTGTTCCCGCAATATTTATTTTATTTCGGTTGCTAACATGTTGAAGAGGCTTGGACCCCACATGTTGACACACTTTTCTTATTTTGCTTATGACCTCCCGTGATGTTTGACCCTTGTAGGTCTAGCGCTTCATTTTTTATTATAATGACCCTCCTCGTGTTAAGCTCAGACTTTATAAATTTATAACTGGGAAGCGCTAAACCAGTAGGGTCATACAACACCTGGGGAAATGAGACAAACAGGTTTGATCTGAGAAAGGGGAGGATACCTCCTGTTTCTGGGATCAAGAGATAAACACGTTAAGAGTCTTGTCGCTTTCATGGGAGGGGGGGGTTAAGTTTGATCCGAGAAAAAAGGAGTAGCTCCAGGTTCTTGGATCAAGAGACCATCGTCAAGCAGACGATGGCCAGCCTCTTCATTGCATTTTTCATTGTATAATTCATTGGGAGAGGGGAGCGCTAAACCTGTATGGGTCATATAGCGCCTGGAGTACTGAGGAGGTATACAGGTTCGACCCAAAGAAGGGAAGCACAGGTCCACTTTTCAAGATCAAGGACCCCGTCCCCCCCCCCTCTCACCGGCATCAAGAGACCTTCCAGCAACACGGTCCCTTAAAACTAGGATGAATTTGAGGAGAGAAAAAGATGTCACTAAATGCCTTTTAGTTTTATTTTCACATATCACAAGTTTTACACGTTAAAATCCACGCACAAGTGCAAAATTACTTTCCTGTACACATTAAATATACAAGTATGAATATTTACAAGCTAAGATGCACCTGTCTCCAACGCACCAAAATGAATCACAGATACAATTTGTTTCCAAACAAACTAGGCTCCTTTATGTACATTTGTACATTTTGTACATATGTACACCAAAGCTAAAGTTAGCATCACAAAAATAGGTCTGAGTCTGAAAGAAGCCTAATCAACATAAGCTGCCTTGCAACCAGTACATGTTGTTGCAGTCGTAACATTTTGAAAGACTTATTGCACGCAGAGTTGACACCTTCACACACCAAGTGCGCCACAAGAATCCACTGAAATGACCTCACAAGCCACTTGAGACTAAGAGAATTAAAAACAACTTATTTTTTCTTGAAACTCACATTTTGAAAATTCTCTTTACATGGCATCAAATTTATTAAAACTCAAAGGCAGACACCACTGACTAAACTTGAACTTTTACATGTTTCCCTAAAGATGCAAACCCGAACTTGCTGAATCACACATGAATAAAATACTCAAGTTGCTTGTGAGTCTTTTAATCTCAAGAAAGTTTACACGACAGAAAAGTGGAGGTAACATTTTTCAACGTGCCTGTAGCATCTTGGCATCTGTTCAAGGACAAAAATTACAATGGAACGGTTACGATGGCGCCCGGAAGCTATAAAAGACCAAAGGCGGCCATGGCCCGAGGGCTTCTGGCTCTGTAGGGCACCACTACATGTTACTGATCCTGCCGAAGGAGTCCACGTTCAGCGTCTGTCCACCTGAGACGACTACGAACCCGGATTATTCCTTGAATCTTAAATATTAAAACATACATTCCATGAGTCAAAGAAGACACAAGTTCTCGTCAAAGCTACTGGCGCCATCACCACCGGTTACAGCAAGACTCCAGCTTGGAACTTCCAAGCTCCACGCATGAGGAATTTAGGAGTTTACAGTTTCACGCATTATGAATTATGTGAAAGCTCCCACATGATGACTATTTCAAAGCCCACAGGTCTTAAAAATTAAAAATAATGAGATTTTCTTGGCTCAAAACAGTAAAACAAAAAACATGCATGAACTCCAAATTTACCTACACCATTTGAGAGCTTTTTTTTTTAATTACACATGTTTGACTGTAAAGTCCTGTACATAATGAGGAACTCTAAGACCACCTACCGGGAGAACCTTCCTAGTCTTTTACATGACGAGGATCTTTATCCTCGTACATGACGAAGACCTGACGAAGGATTCCCAGCAGCCTGGCTCTCAAGGCCCAGAAGCTGCCTCAATATGAAGCAGCCAGCGGGCGCAGGAGACAAAAATCACAACATCTTTTCCCCTGATTATGAGCTCCCTCAATGAATGCACTACAATGACTCGATCCTTACGTACAGCTACAATGCCACGACTAACATATCTTTTCACTGACAATGACTCGGTAAGCCATAAATTGTTAAGACATTGATACAATGTATCACTACGTTAGATGAAACGGATGATGCATTTTCTTTAAATGCACAAATCATACTGGTGTACATTTGAAATTAAGTATGAATGACACAACTGGATTGTACTGATTTTTTTACATATCTTGATAATGGTGTAAAAAAATTAAATGACTCAAGGAAGAGAATATTGACAGACTTGAAACGTGATGTGTTCTATAAATAAAATAACAAAATTAGTATAACTTAATAGCTAAGACTAAATATACAACCTAAATGTAATCTTAATGAATGACGTGAGTTAATGACCAAAAACAATAGTTTATGGGTTCTAATAAGCGTATTTTTATTAATTTTCCAAGAAGAGCTAAATTAACACTTAGTCTACTCCTAACACTTGTCTTACTTTCACTTTTCTACCTTATTATGTATTATTATTATTAAAAAAAATCCTACTCAGTTTTACAAAAACACTAATTAATGCCGACAAGCTTAGTACATTGATGTTTGAAGCATCGTTTGTGCGAGACTTCTGGTTCGTATCCGGAACGGCACTTAGGAGCATAGTCTTTCTTAATCAACAGGAACCATTTGAGCCAATGTGATCCAAAACTGAGCCGAGTAATGCATTACAGCCCCTGGAAGTGTTACTGGTCCCCGAGTGCCGGTCCTGAATATGTTCCATAGGGGCGGGTGTAGAAAAAAGAGCGTAATATTACCATAGGATGGAGTGACTGGAATAAGAGTAGTAGTATTTTTTTTAGCAACTAACAAAGTGGGTAGACAACACTCACTGACTTAACTAACCCCTGTGTTATTTATTTATTATTTATTACATTATAAATTTTCCCGTACGTAAGCACACCCATAAGTCTCCACACTTAAAATTACACCATGAGATATTTAGCGTAGGATGATGATAACGAGAGAGAGGGGAGATGTTCGCTAGAGCAGGTCGCTGCAACAAGTGACCAGCAGAGGAGAATAAAGACTGATAACTCACAGCGATGACTCCTCTCTCCGTGATGACTGGCTGACACTACCAAGACTACTATACACTACGATGACAACTCGAACACGACGACGACAACGACTGAAGGAAGAGAAGGTTGAGGAGTCGCCCGGCTGTGTGTGCAGCACAACACAACTCGACCACTTAAAAAAAAAATGCACAAGTGACTAAGACGGATTTAGCGACCAGACGACGAGGAGATTCGCCTTTTTCTTTTGGCCGCCATCTTTCACGTTAAGTCGTCTCGCTGCTATGCTAATGATTGGCGACGACACTGATGATGACGATGACCACGACGAGGACTGACGATGGCGACGAGGCTCCGTAGGCCAGCACGGCATATCACAGCACAGTGTTGGTTCTGAGAGTGCACGTTGGGGCCGCGGGTAGGGGGCACTTGGGAGGTTGCAGAGGGGAACAAGGACAGGAGGAAGGCTGAGGTATAAGTCGCCTGAAGACTTTTTTGGGAAGTATCCCTTCTGTAAGGGCATGGTAGGATATCGAAGTGAGGAAACAGTCAATAGAAAAGACCTCTTAAGAGGCTCGGCTCTACCAGGAGGCACAAAAAAAAAAAACTAATTGAGAAATGGTCTTTTGAGTGCATTCTAGAGGTCCCAAAGTATGATGGTCAAACATCAGGAGGGGAAAGAAAGGACTGGGGAGAGGGAAGGAGATGGCCGGTCCAGTCACTGCAGCAAGCAAGCCGTCAGTCTCATTCTTCCCAACTTCCTAGTGAACTGTCTTGTCCCTTTGTCCGTCACTCGTCTTCCGCTCCAGACTTTACGTCGTCCAAGTTTTCTGTTAACATTTGTCAAGGTGTCCCTGTCAGCGACCTCGTCAGGTGGAATACCCAGGCCCCTGTGGCTGCGGCCCCGGTGCTCGGTAAGCGTAGCGCCCTTAATAGGCCAAGTTCCATAAGGGCTGCGGGAGGTAGTGGTGGGCGTGGGCTGCCCCTGGCAGGAGGGAGGAGGTGTGGGCCGCCCCCTGCAGGAGGGAGGAGCTGTGGATGCCACTATTGCTGCTGTTGGAGGAGGAAGTCATGGAAGAGGGTAGCGGCGTCGAGGTCTCTTTCCAGCTGCCACCACTCAGGTTAAGCGTATCTGTGGAAGAAGAAAAAACTTGTTTAAAATGCATGAAAGCCATTTCCAATACTCTAAAAATATGTAACTGAAAAAAATAGTGCTTCTTAACTTCGAATAAAAAAGCTGCAACAAGATTATATCTAAGTGACTTGGACCGTGTAATGATTGCTGGTACCAGACGAGGTGGGTTGAGTATTTCAGAAACTGCTGATTTCCTGAGATTTTCACACAGTCTTTAGAGAGTGAAAATAAGACACATGTGCAACATCTGGGTATCTTTATTGTAGACGTTTCGCCAACCAGTGGCTTCTATCAATACAAATTCCAGGACATAACTTGAAGACAGTAGGACTATATACAGAAGATGAGGTAATCATTCTTGCACAACAGAGTTTACAGAGAATGATGTGGAAAATAAAATCCAGTGAGCGGCAGTTTTGTACGAAAACGCGTTATTTAATAATGATAAGCGTCACAGGAGAAAAAGCAGACTGGTTCGACCTGATAGGAAGGCGACAGTAACGCAAATAACCACACGTTGCATCTCTGAATGCACAACATGCCAATCCTTGGAGTGGATGGGTACAGCAGAAGAGCATACCAGATTCCACGCCTGTTACTTAAGAACAGGAAACTGAGGCTACTGTGGGCACAGGCTCACCCAAACTGAACAAATGAAGACTGAAAGTCACCTGGAATGAGGAATCGCGATTTGTACTGCGACACGAAGATGGTAGGCTCAGAATTTGGCGTAAAATTTTACGATGTGGTGGAAAGAGAGATTAGCATTATGAATGCGTAGACCACAAATCTGTAGCAACTTGATGATGCTATCATATCACCATGGACCAGAATCTTTTAAAGGTTTTCAGCACCTTGGTGAATCCATGCCATGAAGAATTCAGGCTGTTCTGGGGGGCAAAGGGGAGCCCTACCCAGCACTAGAATGGTGTAATAAAGTGGCCACTTTATATGTCGTGCTGAATAGGTATAACTTGCGATTTTGGCTTAAATGGCAATGCTCTTTTTCTCGAATAAGGCAAGCGAAAATTTATGTATGCAATAATTTAGCAAAAATCATTCTGAACCTAACGAAAAAAATATATTTCACCGTGTTTGTTTATTATTAAATTACTGTAAACTTATCTAAAATATATTTAACTGGATTATGCTAAATTTAATTGTGCTTGTTATAATAAGGTTAGGTAAATTCTCAAAGATTCTTTTTGTACAAAAATATTAATTTTTACATTAACATAAATGAAAAAATGTACATCTTTAAAAGCATAAGAGAAAATTTTAGAAAGGATTTAATTTTAAATGAGTTCTTGCTAATTGACCAGTTTTACTTATTCGGCACGATATATATGTTTATTAGTGTGTGTGTGTGTGTGTGTGTGTGTGTGTGTGTGTGTGTGTGTGTGTGTGTGTGTGTGTGTGTGTGTTATTAAGGCTGGCGTCCTCCGTCATGGTGCAGACTGCAAGCAAGGAAGGACGGGAGGCTCAGGCAGTTAGCTGTGGGAACTTTCCCCAGCAGGATGTAGACAGCTGCCACAGCACCCACACATGTGGGAAAATTCACACATACAAGGCAAGTGTATCTACAGTGTCCATCCACAAGCCAGTCGTCTGTTTCAGTCTCCAGTCCTTGCCCCACGCCGTTACCACTAATGTCTGTCATGCTCGCCAGAAATCCCTAATATTTGTTTTTTTCAAAGGGCTCTACGGTGAATCAGCAAAGAATCCTTTGCAGACTTCCATCCCAAAAGGAGGCCTAAGAGTTCAGGCAACAACAGCTCTAGCAGACAAAGCTTAAATCACAAGAGGGGACCAATCTTGGCCCACGGTTCTGCCCAACGTATCAGCGACCCTCTCTGACTCCCCTCTCCCCTATCCAGAACCCGTCCTCTTCTAGATCTCCCATCCCGCAGCCCTCTCTTTCCAATCTCTCCTCCCGCATCCTTCCTCTTATACTCTTCCCTACCCCGAAGCTCTTCCCTTTCTCCCTCCTCTCCCGCACCTTTCCCTTCCTCACCTCACGTTCAGGGTAGGATCATCAGTGTGCTGGGCCAGACGCAACCCTGCTCCAGCAACCTTAATAAGACACATGAGTTTTCTCTAGTGCGCCAAACCAAACAAGGCCGCCGTGCGAGGCTGCTGTCCCACCTTGAGAACAATAACATTTGGTGTTCTCGCCCAGCTCACTGACCTCCAAGAAGATCTTTGTGTACAGGACGTGTTTTTTCTCTCCACATCACATTCCCCCCGTATGAGATAAATGTAAAAGTTGGCCTCTGTAAACACACAAAAGAGAACACTAGTGTGTGCCGCTCTTACCCCACGTAAGCAAAGGTCTTGTGCTACTGACATCTAGCTGTCTACAATGGTGATGTGACCTTAGAGGCGCCAGTTACCGAGAACACATTTACGATTTAGGAGTTTTCAGCGTTACTCAGGTTGTAGGATTTTTACATTTCCCTCCCCCCTGGGGTAAGTTTACTGGGCAGCGCTTTTCACAATGAGAGTGAATATACCACTACATAGTAGTACATAACAGCCCAAATACTTCGACACTTGCTGTAGGATACAAAATGAAAAATGAATGTAACATATGATTTTCCCCTCCACGCCCATTGATATACATTTGATGGGTTTCGAGTTTTTCCTACTCCTGCAGCCCAGCCCTGGGCCAGGCTTTCCTGGTCAACCAGGCTATTGAAGCTGGTGACCAATGAATGTGTCAATCCAATGTTGAATATGCAGCAGCATCAGCATGGAGCCCTTGGCCTATGATAACATGTCCAGAAACTAAAAGTCCAGATATTTGATACTAGACTATCCTTGAATTAAGAATTACTCAAAAGATCTAAACCATACAAGACCAAAAGACAGAGAAACCAGTATAGCAGAGAAACAGTATAGGCAGAGGACCGCGACTACACCCACTCAACAGAACACAACTTTCTCAGCCGAACATACAACATACTGAATTAAACACACACAGCACACACTGCTGACCGCAGCTAGACATACATACCACGAACTCAGTACAAGACTTCATCAGCAAGTTAGTGGTTGGCCTTCCCAGTTGCAGTGTGTCAGTCACGTTCACTTCTGGCGAAGTGTGGAGTCACTCACTCAACCCAGCCTCACCACTCACCACAGTCACCATAACTAACATCATGCAAAATGAGATTTCACACTTTCGATCCTATGTGATTGCTCACGAAATTCCTAACGTATTTAAAAAAATTAATCTATCTGTTACCGGTTTTCGAGGAACTTATTAAGTTCCATCTTTCACCGTCTCAAGACTGACAAGTTATTTGCATTCGTGTATATTAAGCTTGGCTTGGCCCCCACAGACATCACTACATAATTCATTCGGCAGCCATTCATGTCCCTTAGCTGGGCGGATCCTAGCTCACCTCTTAGTTTTTGTGAGCCAGCTTTACTGATTTCTGGCAATTTTATACCGTTTTTTCCTGTTTTATATCGTGTCTATGCTGATTTTTACAATAATTGTCGTTTTATACGTTTATGTTGCTGCATATCGTGTTTATTTGGTTTTACAGTGTTTGTGTTGTTTTATACTTCATTTATTGTTTTAAACCATTTATTCGGTTGTATATCGTGTTATTATTGCTTTATATCGTATTTACGATATATATAATAATATATATATATATATATATATATATATATATATATATATATAATATATACATAATATATACATATACATATATATATATATATATATATATATATATATATATATATATATATATATATATATATATATATATAATACATAATATATATATACATATATATATACATAATATATAAATATATTTATATATAGATATATATATATATATATATATATATATATATATATATATATATATATAATATATATATGTAGGTAGTAGGTTGGTAGACAGCAACCACCCAGGGAAGTACTACCGTCCTGCCAGATGACTGTGAAACAAAAACCTGTAACTGTTTTGCATGATGGTAGGATTGCTGGTTTCTTTTTCTGTCTCTAAACACGCTAAGATAACAGGGATATCTTGCTACTCCTACTTACACTTTGGTCACACTTCACAGACACGCACATGCATATATATATATACATACATCTAGGTTTTTCTCCTTTTTCTAAATAGCTCTTGTTCTTTTTTATTTCTTCTATTGTCCATGGGGAAGTGGAAAAGAATCTTTCCTCCGTAAGCCATGCGTGTCGTATGAGGCGACTAAAATGCCGGGAGCAATGGGCTAGTAACCCCTTCTCCTGTATACAATTACTAAAAAAGAGAAGAAGAAAAACTTTATAAAAAACTGGGTTGCTTAAATTGTGCGTGGATGTAGTGCGGATGACAAGAAACGATGATTGCTGATGTTATGAATGAAAAGAAGTTGGATGTCCTGGCCCTAAGCGAAACAAAGCTGAAGGGGGTAGGAGAGTTTCAGTGGGGGGAAATAAATGGGATTAAATCGGGAGTATCTGAGAGAGTTAGAGCAAAGGAAGGGGTAGCAGTAATGTTAAATGATCAGTTATGGAAGGAGAAAAGAGAAAAATGAATGTGTAAATTCAAGAATTATGTGGATTAAAGTAAGGTTGGATGCGAGAAGTGGGTCATAATAAGCGTGTATGCACCTGGAGAAGAGAGGAATGCAGAGGAGAGAGAGAGATTTTGGGAGATGTTAAGTGAATGTATAGGAGCCTTTGAACCAAGTGAGAGAGTAATTGTGGTAGGGACTTGAATGCTAAAGTAGGAGAAACTTTTAGAGAGGGTGTGGTAGGTAAGTTTGGGGTGCCAGGTGTAAATGATAATGGGAGCCCTTTGATTGAACTTTGTATAGAAAGGGGTTTAGTTATAGGTAATACATATTTAAGAAAAAGAGGATAAATAAGTATACACGATAGATGTAGGGCGAAATGACAGTAGTTGTTGATTATGTATTGGTAGATAAAAGACTGTTGAGTAGACTTCAGGATGTACATGTTT